AAAAAAGGCTTGTATATCTTTGAGTAAAAAAAAATATGAAAATATCACAAAATCAATTGAAGAATTTGAATTAAAAATTCAACAATTAGAAAATGAGTCTAAAGGTAAAATATTAATAAATTTGATAATTTTTTTAAATAAGGTTATAAAAACTTAATAAATCAGTTCTTATAACCTGTTCATATTAAATTTTAAGTATATTTACTATTTGAATAGGTTTTTCTAAAAAGTTTATAAAAAATTTTATATATTTTTATTATATATAAAATTTTTTAAAAATAAAATTAAAAGCCAGGATTTAGATTATTTTCAAATATTTTATATTATGAAAACTAATTTATTAAATTTGTATAGCCTAATTTTATTTATTGTATATAAATTAATAAATTTAATATTTAGATATATCTTTTTTGCTTATTCTTTAAATGATAAAATAGCATATTTAACAACTATATTATACAAGCATCAACATCATGAAAATCAACAACCTCTTACAGATCCAACCAAGTTTGTAAAATCAATTGAATTATATGATCTTTCACTTTGTGAATTTTTTGATGCTTTATATCAATCAGCAAATCCACAAAGCAAAAATAAATTTACTCAAGAAAAGCTTAAAAAAAAATTGTCAATTTGTGTTATCATTGAGCATCATTAAGAAACAAGCATGTTAATAATACAAAAGCTTTAATTGGATTATTAATAAAAAGATCTGGTATTTCGACAGCTAGAATTAATATATTAGCCAATTTAAGAATAAGCTTAACATATCAAATAGTTTTTAATAAATTAAAATATATCAAAAAAAAATCATAGCCAAATAGTACAGACTTATTTCAGCAAAATATACAATTTTTTTAATTTAAAATGTTGACGATTACTATAATTTGTATAGTACTCATATTTTTGATATTATATTAATTTTACAAATATCACATATAGCAACTATTTTGATTAATAATTCTAAAATTTTCTAGTACTAGCATTTACTTTAAATAATTAAAGTATATATAATCTCAAAGAGTAGATATTAATTTGCTTAAAGAATTATTAATAGCAAAATATATATTTGTTTTTAGTAATAGTTATACATATCAGAAAAATATTAATTGGCAAATAATACAGAATATGACAATATTTAATGAAGATGATTTAATTAATTTATTGGTAGTTCATTTTTATAATACAAATATTATTAATCATTGAAGCTTTGCTTTAACTAAATTAGTTGATTTTTTACCAATAAATTTAAAAAATTCAAATAATTACTTCAAAGCACTTTTGGTTTTTTCTAGTTAAGTATTAATTTTATTTATTTGTTTAAACTTTATATAAAAATTAATTTATTTATAATATTTTAGATTACCTATAATTAACAAATATTTAAACAATTATATAATTTCTGTACTAGCAAACTTTTTAGGTCAACTATTTATTTACTATGCAATAATACGTAAACTAAATCTAAGAAATAAATCAGCAATTCTATCTCAAATTACTCAATTAGTACTATTATTAGGGCCACTTCATATGTTCTTAAATATCTGTGAAATATGTTTTTTAGAGTATCATTTTTTTTTAATCATTTTTATAAAGAAATATTTAATAAAAAAAAATTTTGACTATTAAGCCAAAACTATAACAAGTTAATTTTTTACTTTTTCTTGTATATTTAGCATAGGAAATTATTAAAAAGCATATTTTTTTATGATTTGGTCAATCTAAAGATTTAGCTTCAGATGCTTATAGATTTATTAGATAATATTATACCTGCAACATTAGATATTTATACAATCTTGTTTCAAAATAATTATTTTGATCTATATATTGAAACTGTTTTTAATTATAGACAATGATATTACAATTTCAATACCACAACTATGACAAATATATATTAGCCTTATTATCAGATATTAAATACTGAAAAAGAATTAATTATCTACTGTAAACTGCCATATACAAGACCTGGGTCTGTTTTATTTTACCAATTTTAAAACCTATAATTAGACCTGTGGGTCTCT